GGTCGACATGGTGATAGCGGAGGTTCCCCCTTCTCCTGGCTAGAAAGCCCCTTCAGGGTTGGGTGAAGCAGCCCGGGCAGGAGTCACTGTCTCCAGCAGGCCCTGCTGAAATGCAGGTGTGTTTTACAGAGGTTGTTGCCTTCCACTGGACTGAGGTCTCCTTGTGGCCAGAGACTGTGTCTGTTTTGTTGGAACCTAGCATGGTTTCCGCCATGTGATATTTTTCTAGCCTGCGGTAAATGGTGGAGCAAAAGCAGGTTTACAGTTGTTCGTATGGAAAATAATGCAATGGTTAATACGTAATAAGACAAGAATATACTCTGCATCTCACATACACAACTGTAAATGTACTTTCCCCCACCCTGTATGTGTTGACTGGCTGAAGCTCAGGGATGGCAAGCTGGTTTCATTTCATAAGTTCACTCTGGTCGCTTGATAGTGGCTGCCAGGAGCACGGTGTTGAGAGAGATGCTGGGGCATTGTCAGGGCCCAGCAGAAAGGGATGCTGTGCTGTGACTCTGAGGTCTGGCACACGTGTGTTTGGGGTGTATGAATTAGCTGTTGCTACAGAACAAATTGCCCCAAAACTTAGCATTTTAAAACAGCAAACATTTGCTATCTTAGTTTGCGTGGGTAAGGTTCTAGCTCAGAGTCTCCTGAGGTGGCAGTGAGGTCGTCCTGGGGGGCCGTGTCATTCGGAGGCCTGAGTGGGGAAGGAGTGCTTGCTGCCAAGGTGGCTAACTGTTGGCAGGTGGCCTGGGCTCCTTACCACCTGGAACTCTCCACGGGCTGCCTGAGTGCCCTCATGACATGGCAGCTTGCTTCCCCCGGAGCAAGTGATCTGAGAGACATCGTGGCGACAGTCTCAGAAGTCATACACTATCCCTTCCTCCCCCTGAGGTCTGTTAGGAGTGGGTCATGAAGTCCAGCTCACACTCAGGTGGCAGGAAGTCAGCTCCACCTCTCAAAAGGAGGAGTATTTAAAAACTTATGAATAGCCCTGGCTGGTGTGGCTTAGTGTATTCAGCTCCAGCCTGCAAACAAAAGGGTTGCTGGTTCGATTCCCAGCCAACACATGTGCCTGGGTTGTGGGCCAGGTCCCCAGTAGGGGGCATGCGAGAGGCAACCACACATTGATGTTTCTCTCCTTCTCTTCCTCCCTCCTTTCCCTTCTGTCTAAAAATAAATAAAATCTTTAAAAAAAACCTTATGAACATATTTTAAAACCACCGCAGAGGGAACAAGAGTATATGTGCCACCCATTTGTTGTCACTGTCAGGTGTTACCTTAGAAAGTACAGGAATGACCTCCTGCCACCTTATTTGGGGCAGAATATGGACCTCGCTCTTAAAAACACCCCTAAACATCCCCTCTACCCCTCCCCCCCAAAAAAAAACCCAGACCATACAAAGCTAGAGAAACTTTTTCCCTGATTATTTTTCCTTTTTCAGACAAGGACATCGATATATTTGAATCATGGGCCGGCAGTAATTAAAAAGCACATAACTAGTCATTTTAAAATGCAGTTGTTTTACGTAATTGATTTTGCCGCCAGACCCAGAGGAAACAAGAAGGACTGGGGGAAGGAAAGCCTGCGAAGGGGAGGCAGGTTGCTGCAAGTGGCTGCAGGCGGCCCTGCTTGAATCTAATTGCTGCCTGTGCGGCAGTTTGTTTCTGCTAATGGTTTTCTACCGAAAGGGCTGGGGGACCAGGCCTGATTGGAGGGAGTTGTCGTTTGTTTCAGCCACACAGGGGGTGTAATTCTGCTTTCAGGACAGGGTCTGTTTTTCCTTACTATCTATCAGCTTAAAGTACTTCCACTGAACACTTTGAATCAAGGTTCCATTTAGAGATACTTTATTCGTATTTAATTACAGGCTGTAGCACCCATCTTTAATTACCTTTTTTATAAGCCGGCAAGGAACATCCACTGGCAATCAATTATTGTGTGTGTGTGTGTGTTTATGTGTGTAAGCCCAGGGGGATATGGGTGTGTGACTTGCTTCCTGATAGAGCCAGGAGGTGGTGGGCGGGCCAGAGTGGGCTGGGGTATCTGCATGGCAGGTTCCCTGTGAGGAGTAAGTGGTGCATCCTCATTTCCCATGCCTCTCTTTACTTCCACTGGTCAGATTGGGAATTTGGACAAGTGCCCAGAGGTAGTCCTTGCTTAGAGTGGTGAATTGGCTTGGTTGCCTCCATCCCCTGGTGGGAGCAAGGAATTATGGGAGGCCCTTCTTCCCATCCCTTGGGGATATGACAGACTAGGCTTCCTCTTACCCTGGAGCTTGGGAAGCTTGCCTTGGCCCTTTCCTTTCTTCACCTCCCCTTGGCGTGCTCTTGGCAGCTGTTTTTGCCACACAGCCCTAGTGATGCCATGTCCCTTTTTGATTCCAGGGACTCTACAATGTCCCTGCAATGACACTGATTTGAAGACTGATTGTCCCTCTTAGACAATGAGCCAGCGTTCCCAGGGAGTGAGGTCAGGTCACTCCCAAGTCCTTTTGCAGTGGGGATACAGGCCATCCTAACTGCCGGGGAGGTGAGGGTCCTAGTCCAGAGCTCCAGAAAGTGTTCTTTTTGGCGTTCCTTTAGGAACTACCAGAGGGTTTCCAAAAAGAACTTAATGTTGATCTCGCTATGTAATGGCCAGAACATTGCTGAAGTGCTTCCGCCCTTTGATTCCTGGATCCCCATTCCAGCAAGAGGGTAGAGAGAGGATGGAGCTCACACTCACTGAGTCTCTTGGGGATGCTGGGCACCATGCCTGTGGCACTTTAAATGATCCCGGCTGCGGTGAGAACATGCTGTGTCAGGCAGAGCCCCTTCAGCTGTGTGTGACAGAAAAGAATTCAGACTGACTTAAACAGACAACAAAAGAAAAAAGGAATTATTTTAGGGTGGGCATTCGGGCATGGCTAGATCAAGGGGCTCAACCATTGTGATTAGGATTTATTCTCTTTGTCTTTTGGCTTTGCTTTCCTCTTGTTGCTACTATTGTTGCTTGAAGCCTGGTATCTCTAGGCTTCAAGTTAAATTTTAGTAGAAAGAAAGAATCCCTTCTTTTACAGTTCAAACAAAAATAAAACAATTGAGTCTGATTGGACCAAATGGGTCATATGCCTCTCTCAGAACCAATCAGTGTGACTCAGGGTATTTAGGGCTCTGATTGGCTACGTCTGGGTCTTACACCCACTTTGGAGTAACAGGTAGAGTCCACGTAGGTAAACCCCACACATGACATGCTCTTTTACATTTGAGGCCTTAGGATTAGTAGAGTGTGGGAGCAGGAAGGTCCAGCCATTCAAAGGGAAGAAAGAGTTCATGAAATTCTCTAATGGATAGAATAATGGATTTAGTCCTTCAACAAATCTTTGTTACTGACTAGTTCTAGCCCTGTTCCAGGTGCAGGGAATCCAACAGTGAACAAAATAGACAAAAGTCCCTGCCCACTGGGAGCTGATATTCTAATGAAGTGTTTGTGGACGGTGGCCCTTGCATTCTCTTAATCTAAGGTCCAGGATAAAGGGTCTTGTGCAGAGAGAGCTGGGGTTTTGTGGGAAGAATATGGTGCTCAGGGGGCCTTGAACTCATAAAGGAGGGAAAAAGATGAGTGCATGGTTGGGGAAGAAGGGAGAGGTAGGCATTAGGAGGGGCACAGATAAAAACCCAACGAGGAAGAAGGGAACAAGGAAGCCAGTCTGTACCCATCTCTCGTGACAGTGAAGTGTAGACCCCTCCCACATTGCCTGGACCTTTGACTTCTGCAGGATGTTGATAAATGGGATGGAGTTTAGTGAAAGCTAAAAAATGATGACAGGGCTGGAGGGAGTGATTTATGAGAGAAGATGAGCGAAGATGGTGCAGCTTAGCAAACGGTGTGGGGTGGTGGCCACGGGTCACGTGACTTGGGAAGTCCACGGAGAGGAGAGGGGCTGAGGGGCTGGGCATCTGCTGCAGAAGGGGATGGAGAGAGGCAGGGGGCACAGACTGAACAGGCCTCAGCCTGGGAGCCCGGGGATGTGTGAGAAGGAGGGAAGGCTTGTGACTGCATCCTTGCACACTTGCGCAGCTGTGTGTGCGAATGTCTGGGCCCTCCAGAATTGTGAGGCTCTCCAGGGACTTCACGAAATGGAGAGGATGAGAATTTCAGCCTTGGCCAGTCTTGCAAAAGCCTTTTGGGGGCCTCCTTCCCATCTGGCAGAATATTTATATCTGGACCATGTAGATGTGACCACTCAAGCCAGAAAGACTTTTTCCTTCAGGAAAATTGGTGTGGCATTTCTAAAAGGGAAGGAGGGAAGGCAGAAAGGATGAGAAGATGGAAGAATAAAAGTATATGCTCTACAGAGAAAGTGAGGCACAGAGAGAGCATGGGATCTGCCCAAGGCTGCCTTTGGGTGGCATTGCACATGAGGACCGAGGGCAAGGCTTGGGCCCACAGCCCCAGGACAGAATATCTGCCCGGTGGCCGGGCTGAGAATAGGCTCGGGGACCCCTGTGGAGGCTGCTGCTCAGGCAGGAACAAGAGATGGTTGTTGGGTCTGCAGCCTCCAGCCAGGGGCCCTGAGCTCTCCAGGTTGATGGGGTTGGAAAGCTTCTATCTGACCCTTGTCTTGGGCTGCCCTGGGTTCCATAAGCTTTTGATTACATCCATATGTGAGACCCTTGGAGATGCAGTGGTGGGTAATTAAATGGGTGGATTATGTTCTGAACATTTTAGATAGCACTTCTTTGACCTTAAATTGGAGGTGCTCAGGACACCGTTGCACATGTGTGAGAACACATCCTCCACACATGTTTTCTGACTCACTTTTTCCATATGCCTGGTGTGAATCTCTGGCAGCAAAGGGCCCAGGCATGGAGCTGGGCTGGCATACAACTGACAGAGCAGAAAATCTGTAATGGGGGCATCGGACGGCCCTGGCCCTGGCCCATCCTCCTGGCCCCTCTCTCCGAAGCGAGTCCTCTTAATTGCTCCGTCCTCTCTCTACTCTTGACAGGTACATGATTTGTTCGTGAGCTTTGACGAAACCCCTCTGGGGGCTGCCTCCCTGGCCCAGGTCCATAAGGCGGTGCTGCATGACGGGCGGACGGTGGCTGTGAAGGTCCAGCACCCAAAGGTACAGGTGCAGAGCTCGAAGGACATTCTCCTGATGGAGGTGAGAACCTTCCCCTTTCACATTCTTGCCTTTTCATTCTATGTTTCCCTGTGACCCAGGTGGTGCCAGTGAAACTGGTTCAAGGCTGATGGGTAGAAGTGTCCCTTTGAGCAGCCGTGTGGCAGACAGGAGCTTAAGACTACGACAGAGGAGGTTTCATGGCAATGCTGTGACCCCATGGGACCCTATGGCTTGGTTGGTCAGTTCTTCTCGATCTGTTCCTGGGAACTGCAGGTGGATGATCTCAGAACACACTGAACAGCTCCTGGGGTCTAGGGGACCTCGGGAGAATGTTGTAGAAATGAGCCAAACCAAAGGTGATTTCCCTAAGGGTAGAAAAGTTGCCTCTTAGTTTGCGAAATTATAACGAGAGAGCATGTGGTCAACCAAGGGATATAAAAATGACAGGCAGATCACAAAGAAATATTCATGCGGATTACAGGTGTACCTATCTGATATGCTTTGAATGAACAAACATGCATGCCTAGAAATGGCCCCGGGAAAAGCTCTAGTGGAGACTGTGTCTCTGGGTATTTCTAGCTCCATGCCCAGAGCAAGGGAGGGAGGGTGAGCCGGCCACAGCGTGGGCAGTAGCCAGCCCCCTCCATGAGAGGTCAGCAGTCCATTTGCGCTGCCAGCATGTCCCTCTCCTTCCTTTTCTCTTTCTTTCCCTTTCCTTTGCTCCCTTTCCTCATTTTGGACTCTTAGCTTATTCTTTCAACTCTGCCTAAACTTAACATACTCACCAGATGTCTCTTCTGCATGAAGTGAATGAGCAACATCTTCATCCCCAGGGAATTCCTTGTGTAGTGGAGGAGGAGGTCTCTACGCAGACAGCCACAGGGTGGGGGCATGAGCCTTGTCCAGGGGGTGTCTGTGAAGTGCCGGGAGCACTGTGCCTGGACTGATGAGGGTGTCGAGGGGGTCTCACTGGGGAGCCCATGGGACAGCTGGGCAGGGGAAGGACAGCCAGCCCGGCCTGTGAGAAGGCCCCAGGTCTTAGAGGAAGAGGGTGGGGAACTTTCACGGGTAAGAGCTGGGAGTGGTAGCAGGGGAGGTGCTGGGAAGGTAGGCAGGACAGAACACGGAGGGCCTCGTATTCCAGGCTCAGGCATAGAGTGGTGCATGCAATAAATATGTATTTACTACGGAACTCAGCTGATCTGATTTTCCCTTGTTGGTGAGAATGTTATGATCAGATGTGTGTTAGAAATAAAAATCTGTTGGCGGCCTGGCGGGTGCATCTGAAGGAAGAAAGACTGTAGCTAAGGAGACTAATTGAGTGGCTGCTACAATGGTCCGAGAGAGAAATACTGATGTGAAGCAAAGCAGTGTAATGGGGGTGGAGGAGAGGGATGGGTTCAAGGGGCGGGGTCCTCTGGACTCTGCAACCAGCTTTACAGGGGGTCACGGCAAATTCCAGTATGAATGAGGACGAGGAGACTAAAATAAATCATGAATTTCTGGCTTAAAAGTTTGGATTCCTTTAACCATATGTGTTAGTCTGAGTGCAGCTGGGAAAAAAGAAACTGCTCTAGGTATTTCAGAGGGAATTTGAAACAGAAAATGGGGCTCACAGGCGATGGAATGGCTGAGAAACCCACTTCCATCCGATGGAATGGGTTATGAGACAATTACCATTGTGGTAGGAAGCTACCCTCAAGGTGGAGGGGCAAAGAGAATAGGTGGCTCTTGGAGCCCAGGAGCTGGGGCCCCCTGGTGGAAGCTGGGCCCCCAGTGAGCTGGCCTGAAGGGAGATGTTACAGGTGTCGCCTGGGAGTTGGCCACAGATGCTGTTTGAGGTAGCAGGATTTCACTTCCTCCTGCCCCCTAGTGTGATGCCAATGTGGCCCACTGGCCAAACCTGGTTGGCAGCCAGTTGGCAAGGGAGCCTGGAAAATGTAGGTTTTCTTTTTAATGAGAGTATGTGGGTTGGAATGGATTTCACTTTCAGAACTAAGAGAAATGGTGATGGAACTACAAGGTTGGGTAAGAGATTGCTGTCAGGAGTTTTGGAGCGGGAAGGCTCTGTCCGTCTGCAGACTTCGGATCTATTAGCGAGGAGACTGACAGGAGCTGAGTCTGGGGCAGTAGTTGAGATCCTTAGAAAAGTTATGTAGAGTGAAAAAAGAGAGGCAAGGAAAGAACTTGGAGAAACATCCTCCCTCGTGGAATGTGCCCAGGAGGATGGAGGAGTGAACCCGGGATTGAACAGAGAGCACTGTTACTGAGAGCTGAGTCAAACCACCTCAAAATGTCGCAACTTAAGACAACAGTCTTGTGCTTTCCTCGTGAATCTGTGATCAGGCAGGGCTTGGTAGAGACACTCATCTCTGTTTTGTGTGGCGCTGGCTGGGTGGCTTGGCTGGAACTGGAGGGCCCACGTCAAGGTGCTCACGCACATCGCTGGCCAGTGGGTGCTGGCGTTGGCGGGGAGCCCAGCTGGGGCTGTGAGCCACGGCCTTGGATCTTCTCCGTGCCAGCCGCTCCGTGGCCATGTGGGCTTCCTCACAGCTTGGTGGCCGGATTCTTAGAGCGAATGTCCTAAGAACATGAGGCTGCAAGTGCATCACAGGTTTATGATCTCTCCTTGATGGTCATGTAGGCTGCCTCCTCCTTACTCCTTAGGAAAGAACAGGAGTCGTACAGGCCCCTTTGGTTAAAGCAGTGGGGAAATAGACCCTACTTCCTGATGGGGGCGTGGTGAGGTTCGAGAAGAGCATTAGCATGGGAGATATTGTTGCAGCTGTTTTGGAGAATACAGTCTGCCAGAACTACTCGATGTCATCAAAGGGGAGATAAAATGAGCGAAGCTCTTAAAAGGGTATTTTGGATTTGGTGATTTAGATTTCTTGGGAAAAGCAAGGCGAATGGGTGAGTGGGGTGAAGCAGGACTGAGCCCCAGGGAATGGAGACAGTTAACGTGGAATGCTCTTCAAGTTTACCCATCGACGGTGAGGGTGTGTGAGGTTAGAAGTTAGAGCAGAGCACGGGTAACGGTCAGGCAGCTGATGGGGGGATGGCAGCAGCAGGGTGAGGGCATTGGAGGTTCAGGAGAGGAAGCAGCGGGCAGATCTGGTCCAGGAGGAGACTCGAGGGATTGGGCTGCAGGCACACAGGTAGAAACGTCAGCCTTGGCCAGCCTTTGTTTTGAGACTGGAGTCTAGTGGTGAGGCTGGGTGACGATGAGTGTGGGGCACAGGGGCAGGGCGGGGAAGCGGGCAGCTGAGTTGTACCAGCCTGATAGCCTCTATTTTTTCTCTGAAGTAGGAGGCAAGACCATCTGCTGAGAAAGAGGGGGTAGGAGGTGGCTTTGAAGGCTCTGGTGGGGGCGAAGGTTTGGAACAGCTGCTGTGTGCATTGGAAAAGGGAGCAGGGTTGCTGAGTGGCCCTGGGAATCCACCTGGAAGCCTGACTTTTCCAGAGCACGTGTCAGTGGCTATGGAATGGCCATCGCTGGGTGTGAACCGGGATCTCGGAGGATCCCCGGGGGTGTCCTGAGACCCAGCAGCCACTCCTGCGTCAGGTGGGAACATGCCTCTGGCCAGCCCCACTGTTGTCGGGACCCACTTGGGCAGGAGGACGGGTGACACCGTTTCCTCTGCTCAGAGCCTCGCTGGCTCCCTAAGTAATGGTGGCTGTAAGGTCAATGGCAATAATAGCAGTAATAAAGATTTGGCACCTTCTGGAGATAAGCATAGGATGCTTTTCTCGGGAAGTACAGCCTACCGGCCATGTGCAGAATACAAAGTGGCTCCTCCATGGTGGCCGAGGCAGAGCTGGGGCTGGGAGCACAAGGTGGATCGGGGACCTGTACTCACAGACTTCAGGGGAGAAGCTGGAAATGAGGCCTGTGGTCAGCACCTCCGTGGACCATCAGCATTAGCAACAGCACCATATGGTGCTGCTTTCTCACGGGGCCGCATCTCTGGTGGAAGAGATTCTACCTGGGTCTCCCTTCTCTGCTCTAAAGCTAAGGAGAGCCTGACTGGAAGATTCATTTTGTTTTATATTTGAAATGAATATTTTTTTTCTGAGTCCAGACCTAAAATGGTACTTTGGTTTTTAGGAGCGACAGCCCCAGAATGGTGCTTAGGGATGCTTGGCAGGAGAAGAGCAGTTTCTAGGGAGGATTAGGGCTACCTTAGCCATCGGGAACTTGCAGACAGGGGCAGCATAGCCTTCGGGTGCTTCCTTGCCTCTAACTGCCAGGTGTTGTGGGCCCTCATCCTTCTCTCCCACTGCCCACGAGTGTTCAAGTCTCCTCTCCAACCCTGGGACTGATCACAGTATGATCTTGAGAGGAAGACTCTCTGATTGAAGTAACTCCTACTGAGGAGAGAGTGACAAATAGGCTTAACTTCCAGGTGTTTGCAGTTTTAAGAAGCGAGCTTTTACATCCAACTACACATCTGCTGTAAGGTCTACAGGAGTGAGACTTTTGAGAGTGAGGATGTTGTTGGCTACAGGTATCAGGAAATCCAACTAGGAGTGGGGTAAATAACAGTCATCTATATTATCTTGTATTTCAAGACCTCTGGCAGTAGTGTAGACTTTGTCAGTGTTGACTAATCCAGCACTTCACTGTGCTTTTCAAGGCCCTAGGTTCCTTTTGTCTTCCACTCTGCCATCCTGACTTGTCCTTCCAAGGCAATGCCCCTCATGGTCCCACAACAGCTGCAGCAGTTTCTGCTCTTATAAGGAGACGATATCTAGATGCCAAAGAGGTCCTGTTTCTTCCCTCATATTCCTTATCAAAAAAGAGCTCCTCAGTAGAATTCCCTTCATTTTTCACTGGCCAGAAGTAGGCCACCTGCCCAAGCCTAAGTCAGTCTTGGCAAGAGAAATGAGACTGCTCTGACTGGCTCGCTGGCCAATCATGATTCGCCTGCTCAGGCCGGGGCCTGCCTTCCTTGAAGGACATGAAAGATGCCCATATTTGAGGTTCTGTTACCCAGGAAGGTGGGGGAGATGGCTTTTGTGTTGGCGCTCAGTAGCAT